AAAAAAAAAAAAGATTGTCTTGGTTATTCTAGGGTATTGTCATTTTCCTTTAAATTTTAAAATGGGCTTGTCAATTTCCAAGGACAATGACCAGGTTCCTGTGCTCAGACTTGGAGTAAAGTGGGTAGAATCAGCATTTGCTCTCCCACAGCCCATGTTGACAGCCTGGCCAAGTTTGGTGTAGGGTATCTATTGACTGTGGTTAGGGGAGGAGGTCACAAAGGAACACTAATCACAATGACCTCTTGTTTTTCAGTGAAAACACTTGATGCAGTAGGACAATGCAGATATATCCTTAAACTTTCTTCATAAATCTGGACTCACTAAAAAATGTATCTCAATATCCAATATACATTTATGATAGTATTTCCATAAGTTAGAATCCTAAGAGTGGGAATTTCTAGAATAAAATATTAAATCAGGGGGGGCGCCTAGGTGGCTCAGTTGTTAAGTGGCTGCCTTCAGCTCAGGTCAGGATCCCAGGGTCCTGGGATCGAGTCCCACATTGGGCTCCCTGCTCTGCGGGAAGCCAGCTTCTCCCTCTCCTGCTCCCCCTGCTTGTGTTCCCTCTCTCGCTGTCTCTCTCTGTCAAATAAGTAAATAAAATCTTTAAAAAAATATTAAATCATATATTTTTAAACACATAGCTTTAGAGGTTCCAACCTCCCCATTGTGGAATGGATAACTTTCATGTAATCATCCTTGGTTCTTGTTCTTTCTGGCCATTACCACTTTTAAATTGTATGGTAAAAAAAATAAGAGAAAATTAAAAAGAAATAAAGTCGCAGTGATAAGAGTAAAGGCAAAAACTTAATTTTTAAGCAAGAAAAATGTTTTATGAAAGAAAATAAGGAATTATAAAAATCCTCATAATGAGGAAAGTAGCTAAAATGTAATTCTCCTCCCCTCCCCCCTCTCCCTCCATTCCTTTTCCCTTGAAATGTTTGCAAAGATATTAAACAGCTGTAAATTAGGTGACTGTTTTCACCAATATACTGAAATGTGAAGGGTTTTGGAGGGTAAGTCTTAATAAAAGGAGAGCAATTTGTTCAGGATATATGTGTTGGAAAATGATTAGTTTAAAGCAGTATTTGGAGGATAAGAACATGATAAATCTTTGTGGGAAAATGGAGGAATAGTGAAGAAAAGTGTGATGATTTCAGCAGAGGCAGGGATAATTCGTTGGCTGACATCAATGGATGTGAGCACCCACAATAGCCTTGTCACATGGGTTAAAAAAACTAATTTCCAATTTTCACCAAGATCTACTAGGGACCAGATTTAAGTGGAGCAGATTCCACTTGTGGGTTTGTCAAGAGGGTTCTGCCTGGGACTTCCTCCTGCCCATCAGCTTCCTCAGACCCTGTTTCAGGTCTTTGTTTCTCAGACTGTAGATAAAAGGGTTTAGCATGGAGGACAGAACTGTGTAGGCAAGTGTTGCTATGTGGTCCCTGGCTGTGTAGGTGGACAGGGGCTGTAAATAGACATAGAAGATGCTTCCATAAAACAGTGTTACCACAGTGAGGTGAGAGCCACAGGTGGAGAAGGCTTTGCATTTCCCAGCAGCTGAGGGGATCTTGAGAACTGCGATGAAGATTCGTAGATAAGAGAAAGTAATGCAGAGAAATGGGGTCACCAAAAGAACAGAACCTTCTGACATTATCACAATTTCATTGACAAATGTGGAAGAGCAGGACAATTTCATCAGGGGACTGAGGTCACAGAGGAAGTGATGGATAACACTGGAGTCACAGAAGATGAGGCGATTCAGTAGCAGTGTGTGTAGGAGTGAGTGGAGGTGAGGAAGTGAGCAGGAAAAGGCCACCAGCAGGACACAGCGGTGGTGGTTCATGGTGGTGACATAGTGGAAGGGGTCACAGATGGCCACATAGCGGTCAAAGGCCATGACCGCCAGAAGGCAGCTGTCAGTGTTGCCCAGAGCATAAATGAAATACATCTGTGTCAGACACCCAGCATAGGAGATGGTCTTCTCTGACAGGAAGTTCACCAGCATCCTGGGGACAACGGTTGTTGTAAAGCAAATGTCAGTGAAGGACAGGAAACTCAAGAAGAAATACATGGGGGTCTGGAGCTGGGAGTCAGAGTGGATGGCCAGGATGATGAGTAGGTTCCCTATTATGGTGACCAGGTACATGGTGAGGAAGAGGATAAAGAGTGGCTTCTGGTCTTCGGGCCGGGAGGAGAGTCCCAAGAGGATGAACTCAGAGACACTGCTGGTTTGGTTGACTACTGCCATTGACGTGGGTCTAGTTATATAAACAATCTTTTGTTATTTGCCTTACTCCAAGTCCACAACCCAGAAAGTCTTTGTTTTCTCTGTTTGGTCACAGTTAGCTGCTATACAGGGACAGCTTGTCAATCTCCCTTGATGTGGCCCTCCCTTCCCAAATCTATGGCATCATAATGCCTTATAGTGAAGGCTGGAGGGACAAAAGAAGAGTTTTCCTTTAGAAACCATCAGAGTTGCATCGGGTGTTATACACAACTAATGAATCATTAACACTACATCAAAAACTAATGATGTATTATATGTTGGCTAAGTGAACTTAATTTAAGAAAAATAAAGAAGGAAACCAGCAGAGATGGACCTCACTGATTCCAGTTCACCATTCCTATTCTGTGAAAGCACTGTTCCTTTGCTGGAGATTTAGCAACTAAAAACAGGCAGATCCATGTATTGTGTAGCTCATGTTCTAGGTGGGGAGACTGATCATCAACAACATCAAGCAGTGCATAAGGGATGGAAATGGTTGGGGGATGAGTCTGCCGAAATAACCAAAAGGGAAAACCAAAGGGGAATGTTGAACCCATTTCAACAAAGTGGGCTTTTTCTCCTCTGAGGACAGTCTGTGCAATCTCCCTTTTTCTGTAAATTATTTTTCCTTTCTTTAATATTTTGTCCTAAATCACGTTTGTACAGGATGCGCATCCATTGTTGAGTATTCAATTCATGCTTTATAATTCACCAGTCATATGTGTATGCAAAAATACTTATGAGAACACGTTTATTTTTTATATATTAAGTGTTGATATACATATGCTTTTTTTCAGTCTTATCCAGTTACCTGGCTATTGATATCAAGGTGGCCTCCATTTTCTTGCTACTACAAAAAACTCTGCGATGAGAGATCTTATATAAGCGAAGTGTGTTAAATCAACTTTTTAGAGTCAGTATAGCTATGCATACCTCATTAATGGACATATTACATAGAGATTTTCAAATGGTTTGAGATACTGGTTATTTATATATTCCTACTTACGATAAAAATCTCTACAATGAACATACTTAAATAACCAAAGTGTTTGAAATAATTTCTTTAGAAGCACTATATACTTTCACACCTTTTAAATGATCTTTTTGCATTGGAATTTTTATGGATTAAATACTGTTATTCTAATATGTTAATTCATTTAACATTGAAATATTAATATATTAATTAATTTAACAATTAAATGCAGTAATTATGTTAACAATTAAATGATGTCATGTGCATAACAGTGACTATGGTTAATAATACTTTATTGCATATTTGGAGTTTGCTAAGAAAGCAAATTGTAAAAGAATGCTTTATTTTATTTTATTTTATTTTATTTTATTTTTCTTTTAGAGAGAGAGAGAGTGTTTGGATAGACAGTGTGAGCTGGGGAGGGGCAGAGGCAGAAGGAGAGAGAGAATCTTAAGCAGGTTCTATGCCCAGTGTGGAGCCTGAAGTGGGGCTCAATTCCACAACCCCAATATCTTGACCTGAGCCAAAATCAAGAGTCAGATGCCTAACCAACTGAGCTGCCCAGGTGTCCTGACTCAAGAGAAACTCTTCATCAGTCTCAGTGTCACCTTCCCTTCTCTGCTATTACTGGTTGTTCTCAAAATCAATTAACTCACATGCTTAAAATATACTCCTCACTGCCAAGTTGTCAGACTCATACGATTTTGCAAGATCTTACAGAAGAAATCTTAGTTTAGCACTGAATGATTTGAATGAACCAGTAGTTAAAGTTAATAACAATAACCAATATTATTGAAAATTTACTCCCTGTCAAGCTTGTGCTAAGTACCTCACAAATCCCACGATGAAGGACCATGAGGCATGTGTTCTTATCAGGAGCCTGAGGCTTAGAGGTGAAGTGGTTTGCTCAAGGTCACCAAAGAAGTGAATAGCAATCAGGATTTGAACCCCAAGCTGAATCACTCCGAAGCCCTTGCTCTTAACCCTTAGACTACACCTCCTCATGATTTGGTGTGTATATTGTGTATCACAATCATACACAGGCACTGTTTGCCTCATGGTGGTCATTTCCTACATGACCACCCCTTCTATCCCCCTTAACTGACAAGCTTTCTTCTCCAATATTCAGAATCTATCCTTGTAGTGGCTAGGGAGGAGACCTATCTTTCTGTGTTATACAGATGGAGGATTTGAAGTTTTGAACACCTGTGATTAACTGGCCAAAATCAGGTGGAAAAAATTGGCCATGCATGGCTGGGGCATGTCTGTCATGTGGAGTTGTGGTCAGTGCTGGGCAGTGTCCTGGACTTAACACAAAAGATGGGGTTTGATTTTTCCTCTGTCACTTGCTCATAAGCTGATTCCTGATGTTTTATGAATAGCAAGTGAGATACCATGTCTGCAAAACAATCTGTCAAACACAATTCAATAATAAACAAGGAGCCATTTGTGAAAAGTCTGCTTGTGGAAATAAGAAATTAGTGGAGGTTTGGGTTAATTAATGAGGTTGGGTGATCCAGGTCATAGATGTGAGGATCACCTATTCTGATGATTAGGAAAAGGGAAGGTTTTGAGACTGACAACCAGGAAGAACAGTCTTCAAAGTACAAGGTGAGAGGGTAAGGTTGAGAATACAATAGTTTTCTTTCTTTTTTTTTTTTTTTTGGTGTTTTCCTTCCACCAAATTCCACAGTGTAGACTGCCTAGAGGTCAAACTAAAAGCCAGATGGAGGTTTTAGTTGGACCCTATGGACTCAAAAATCCATGAAAGATTTGAAACTCTCAGGGAGGAAAGAGTAGTTGTTAGAGCTTGGAGGAGCCAAGCAGGTGGCCAGCTTACTGAAGCTCACCTCCAGATCCAGATGTTCTTCTTTCCTTCCCACTGTCTCCAGAAGCTGGTCTGCACCACACCTGCTACTCAGCTGCCAGTCTGCTTCTCAGCCAAGCACAGTCCCCTCGTGTTTCTCCCACAACATTCTGGCTGATGAACAAGGAGAGGAACAGGAAAGGCAGAGGAACTGATATGCTACTTGGACAAGACAGCACATTTCCCCTCACTGGCCTCCAACCACTCATGTCTTATCCCCAGCATGCTGCTGCTTTCCCAGCTCCCTATCTCAGAAGACAGAGATGCCCTGACTCAAGGGACAAGGACCCTCTTGATTGTGAAAGCCCAGGCAGCATCTCCTGAGTCTGAGCTCTGCTCTGCTGGCCTCCGGGGTCCTTGTTAGGCTGAAGAAGTTGTGGTTTGATGACCTCTCAAGGGAGCTGGTCCTGTGATCGCTCTAAGCAGAGTCAGCAGACTGGGAATCACACCTAGCAGGGCTGACTCCAGGGGAAAAGGGAGCCCTGAGGCTTCCTGTTTCGGTGTGGGGACTCATCCCAGAGCTTCTTAACCTCAGTGCAACCACCTTTAGGTGTAAGGTTAGCTTGTGTATTTGAGACTTTTCTAATTTTTTGGGACAGGCTTGTATTGCTATGTACTTCCCTCTTAGAACTGCCTTTGCTGTATCCCAGAGGTTTTGAATAGTTGTATTTTCATTTTCATTTGTTTCCATGAATTTTTTTTTTTGGTTCTTCTTTAATTTCCTGGTAGACCCATTCATTCTTTAGTAGGATGCTCTTTAACCTCCAAGTGTTTGAGTTTCTTCTAAATTTCCTCTTGTGATTGAGTTCAAATTTCAAAGCACTGTGGTCTGAAAATATGCAGGGAATAATCCCAATCTTTTTGTACCAGTTGAGACCTGATTTGTGACCCAGTGTGTGATCTATTCTGGAGAATGTTCCATGTGCACTCGAGAAGAATGTGTATTCTGTTGTTTAGGATGGAAGGCTCTATATATTTCTGTGAAGTCCATCTGGTCAGTGTGTCATTCAAAGCCCTTGTTTCCTTTTTGATCTTCTGCTTAGATGATCTGTCCATTGCTGTGAGGGGTGTTAAAATCCCCTACTATTATTGTATTATTATCAATGTGTTTCCTTAATTTTGTTATTAATTGGTTTATATGATTGGCTGCTCCCAAATAAGAAGCATAAATATTTATAATTGTTAGATCTTCTTTTTATTATTATTATTATGTTCAGTTAGCCAACATATAGTACATCATTAGTTTTTGATGCACAAGCTAACCTTGCACCTAAAGAACCTGGAGAAAGAACAGCAAATAAAGTCTAAACCAAGCAGAAGAAGAGAAATAATAAAGATTAGAGCAGAGATCAATGAAATAGAAACCAGAAAAATAGTAGAATAGATCAATGAAACTAGAAGCAGGTTCTTTGAAAGAATTAATAAGATCAATAAACCTCTGGCCAGACTTATCCAAAGGAAAAGGGAAAGGACCCAAATCAATAAAATCATGAATGAAAGGGGAGAGATCATGACTAACACCAAGGAAATGGAAACAATTTTTAGAAATTATTACCAATAACTATATGCCAACAAATTAAGCAATCTGGAAGAAATGGATGCATTCCTGGGAACTTATAAACTACCAAGACTGAAATAGGAAGAAATCAACAATCTGAATAGACCAATAACCAGTAACAAAACTGAAGCAGTAATCAAAAACGTCCCCAAAAACAAGAGTCCAGGGCCAGATGGCTTCCCAGGGGAATTCTACCAAACATTTCAAGAAGAAATAACACCTGTTCTACTGAAGCTGTTTCAAAAAATAGAAACAGAAGGAAAACTTCCAAACTCATTCTATGCGGCCAGCATTACCCTGATCCCAAAACCAGACAAAGACCCCAACAAAAAGGAGAATTACAGACCAATACCTTGAAGAACATGGACACCAAAACTCAACGAGATCCTAGCCAATAGCATCCAACAGTACAGTAAAAGGATTACTCACCATGACCAGGTGGGGTTTATTCCTGGGATGCAAGGGTGGTTCAACATTTGGAAATCAATCAGTGTGATAGAGCACATTAATAAAAGAAAGGACAAGAGCCATATGATCCTCTCAATTGATGTACAAAAAGCATTTGACAAAATACAGCATCCTTTCCTGATTAAAACTCTTCAATTATTAGATCTTCT